GCTAACTGGCCTATAATTACCTGTTTTGTCACTTTCCTTTTTTTTCCAATAAGTGTGTTACACTAGCATTTTCTAGTCCTCTGGGTCTTTTCCTGAATCTGAGGATTCTTGGCAAGTTACGACAAATGCAACTGGTATCACTAGCTAGTCTTTTAAAATCATAGGATGAAACTCATCAGGTCTAGGGGACTTATTGACCTTTGGCTTTGAAGTTAAGCTCATACGTTCAGTATAGGCTTGCAAAAAACAAATCGGTGTGTAAACAGAAACGGGTGTAGGTGAAATTGACAGGAATAGCAATACCCCCCGATCCGAACACAGTTAAATTGATTTTTGTTCCATGTGTTTGACAGGTAATTACTTCATGAATTAAACTAGTTGCCTTTTCTTTGTCCTTCATGTGACTTGGCAGAACCATTTTGCATGCCATGTGCATTCCCAATTGACATTTAATTTGTTTTTGTATAGGTAAAATTGCTACACACTCATTTGAAGACTTTAAGGTTCATCTTGTACTGTGCATTTTGAGATCAGTGTCTCAGGTTCTAGTGCATTTGGTTATGTTGCTACTTCACCATTGTGTAGCTCGATATTGTATAATACATGCTTCTGCAGCACACGCCACCCTAGCCTGTAAAGAAGCCTGCACGTCAGATGTTGAAACATGGTGGTTGTCTGAAGTTCATTCTCCTGTACTCCGTGATCTTGCAAATTTAATTGGATCACAGTGAACACATTTTGATAATAGCAAGTGAAACTCTAATGTGTAGTGATTTGTAAGTTGCTTTATAAACCTAAAATTATTAGATTATAATTCATCAACTTTTGTAATTACATTTTATTTAAAAAGTAAATGGTAGAATTACTGATGTTAGCAACTTAACAATCCAAAGGGTCCTTAGTTAAATTATTTACTCCACACATCAAATTTTAGAAACCCATATTAGTTGTGTTGCATAAACAATTTGCCTGAAGTATGAGAACTTCTTCTGAAATTATTTATTAGGACTCAGAATGTTCTGGGTGAGAAAGGTCGCCGAATCCGTGAACTGACTGCTGTTGTTCAGAAGCGATTTGGTTTCCCAGAGGGAAGCGTTGAGGTAAGTTACCTTTATTGAAGGATGATGTTCTGTTGATACTTATTGGCTGTGTTATTATTTAGCAATGCAGAGGTTACGTAGGAGCAACAGTCCTGTTCCTCACCACCTTCACCTTCAGTGATGATGCTTGATGACGAGTCTGATGGGATATGGTTGTGTCAGGACTCCTGGTACAGTTGGCACGTTCTGTGCTGCTAGTTTCAGGGCCTAGAACAGTCTGTCCCTTCTTTTGATGACTTAGAGGCATTTGTCTGAGAAGGCTTGATAAACATGATAAGCAAAAACTGATTGGGGCTACTCAAATCTTACTCTGACTTATCATGCATTTGAGCTTTGTGAAACTCGATATGTACTTTGTACAATAACTCTGTTAAACGTTTAGTGCCATAGTTTTGAATAATAATTCCCTGAATTGAATGGGGTTTTGCCAACTGAGATTGTTCTCCCTTTATTGAATCTGACTTTGGATGCAAAATATTTTAAGATGCTGTAGTTTAAGTTGGAGATAGAAACTGACCAGGTTCCAAAGTGCAACGTTCCCTGCACACCAAACATCCCTGAAGTCCGTGTTTCCTCTGATTTTTTTTTTTTCTGGTTGCATGGGCCTCTGAGGTTCCTGCTTGGCAGCAAGTTCCAGAACTTGAAGCTGATAGGCACAGAGTCTTGGTATGGCTGCACACAGCTCAGGAAATGTTGCTTGTGGCAGCAAAATTCTCCCTGTGAAATATGAAGGACTGGGCTCCAACTAAGCTCTCTGTAGCATTCAACTGTTCATAGCGCTAGAAGCTGTAGCTGCAATGTTAATGTTTTTATTTTGTCTGGGTTTTTTCTTTCACAGCTTTATGCTGAAAAGGTTGCCACGAGAGGGCTTTGTGCTATCGCTCAAGCAGAATCCCTGCGTTACAAGTTGTTAGGAGGCCTGGCAGTGCGTAGGTAAGCTGAAGGGTTTGATTACTCAAACGTTATTGTAAATACGACTTTACATAAGAATCAAGTGGAATGAGAATTGGGAACTTGAGGCTATCTATGTGTAATCAAAGTAAGCCAATTTTGAGATGCTGTGTTTGCAGCACTGTGGCATTTTGCTGAAGGCCTTATCTGAAGGTGTAAATATAAGCATATCTGGTGCACATTAAAATCAAACACAATCATTTCTTTTCAAACTGAAGATAAACAAGTATAGCACAAGTCTTAAGTGAATCCCAAGTTGGAGGTGTTTTCCTCCTGGAATGTTTGTGTTGATGTCCAGTCGGACCAAGATTCTAAATTTAAACTGCAGTCTCACTGACTGATGGAACTGCTTTATACTGTAAGCGCAGCCTAATACTAAGTGAAGCAGTTTGTGTCCACATTACAATTCTTATATGGACCATTTTGACATGTTACTGAACTTCTAAGTGCTTCAGTGCATTAGTAAATCTTTGTCCCTAGCTGAACCAAAAATTAAAGATTTGTGGCTTCTTGAGTTGCTACTTTATTTTAGTAAACTAATTGAGTAGGCTTTGTGATACCTGAGTCCATTTACAGCTTGTGAAACCAGACAATGCAGATTACAAGCTATCAGATTCAAATTATTTCTATTAAGTAGTAACTTGAGATACTGTGTTTGACTTCAGTATCTTTGCGATAGGGAATAGCAGTGAACAATCAAATTGCTTTTCCTAACTCCTGACCAGTGAGCTGTACTAAAGTGTGACAAGATGCAACACAAATTTGAACAATGTTGAATTTGGCTATAATGTCCTCCAAGCTAAATTTATCTGCATTCACTAGCAAGAGTGGACATTTTTGACAGCGCAACTGAGCGTTCTTGCACTGGGAACAAATTTATGAATTGCTATTGGGAGGGCAAGCCCTGTCTCATAACTGTTGAAATCATCTATGCAGACCTGACTCTCACTTCTCTGACCTGTTCAGTACATTGCCTGCCTCCAATCTCTGTGCCCCATATGGAGCAACCTTTCTGTGCTATCTGCAAGCATCCTTTAATTCAAGGGATGGGAGAGGAAGTCATTAGCAAGTTTTTTGTGAGAAACCCCACCTGCTGGGTGACAGGCTTTGAACCACTGTGGCAAGGTCTTTGCTTCACAGGTTCCTGTCAGGCCACGGTCTGTAAGCAGCTAACTACCACTGTGGGGACTCAGTCCCTTATGGAAAGATGCAAAATATGCTACACATTACAAATTAAGTGGCAAAATAATTACCTTGAACTCAGCAAATGAGTTGATCGTTTGGCACTACTGCTTAGTGTTTGCAAGTCCATAAATGGGGAGAGAAAGGCATTTTGTATGAAAGGAAAATTTAAACTATTAATTAGAATAAATATGCCAGTCAATGATGTGTCTTATGGTTTCTTCTCGGACACCCATCCCTAGTACCACCAACTTGGTGATTATTTTTACTGTTATTAGTTGTTCAGAGGCTTTTTGGTGTCAACGTTTAGGTTGCTATTAAGCTGAAGGCATTAAAAATGCATTTCCCCTCTTCCCTAGAGCATGTTACGGTGTTCTTCGCTTCATTATGGAAAGTGGGGCCAAGGGCTGCGAGGTGGTAGTTTCCGGAAAACTCCGAGGCCAGAGAGCCAAGTCCATGAAATTTGTTGATGGTCTGATGATTCATAGTGGTGACCCAGTGAACTACTATGTTGATACAGCTGTACGCCATGTACTGCTAAGACAAGGTGAGTGAGGGATTTGCATTAAAGTTATCCTTTCTTGAGTGCATTGGAATAGGGTTTCATTGGTGTTAGTTTGTCTGATACCTTGCTTATGTGCACTTCATTCATGTGCACCTGCTGAGTAATTGTGATTAGACTTTGTGACTGGACCATTAGTCCAGCTCTAATCTACCCACTTAGCATTGCAGTTTCCTACACAATGTAGTTTTCTTCTCTGGTGTTCCAAGAACGCATTCAGCTATTTGAAGTCGTTCGGAGTAAGCTGTCAGCCCATCTACTAATTCATTTAGTAGTGCATTACACAACATAATTAAATTGGTGTTTTAATAATATACCTGATGGTTTTGTATCTATTCTGTTCTAAAGCTGACATATTCTTTTACAGGTGTATTGGGAATTAAAGTTAAAATCATGCTGCCATGGGACCCAAGTGGTAAAATTGGACCCAAGAAACCTCTGCCTGATCATGTCAGCATCGTTGAGCCCAAGGATGAGATCTTGCCAACTACACCTATTTCAGAACAGAAGGGAGGCAAACCAGAGCAACCTGTGATCCAGCAGCCTGGACCAGTTCCGACTGCATAATTGGTATCTTTCCTTCTGTTCTAACAATGCCTCATAATATCCTTAGCAAGTCAAGTCTGAACAGAAATTTCTCACTTGTATCTTTGATGTATGGAATGTTGACTGGCATTGCCACTGGAATCTTTGATTTTAAATTAGATGTGGTCTAGTTATAGCTTCAGCCTCTTACTGTAATTAATGTAATCCCCTCTGAGTAATCAAGCCATTGCAATGTAAAATAATTAACCACTACTTTCTCCAGGTAACTGGTGAGCAATAAATGCAACTGACCAGTGTTTGAGCTGTTTTTAAACATGAAATTAAAACATAACATCCAGAACAGTTTCTGGGCATTGTGCAACCAGAGTTTAGATTCTTGGATTTTCACATCTGACAGTTGACTGGTTAATAGAAGCTAGGTATTTTAGAATTTGGTCATTGAATCTGATGATCTCTTTTGCCTAATGCAACTAGCTTATTAATGTATGATTCATTAGCCTCTAACTATTTGAAGTAGGCAAGAGAGTTACCTTGGGGTTTTATTTCAGAAATGTTTGCAAGAATTGCTAATGGAGTTTTCCTGGCCTCTACAGCCTAAGCTTAATGTGAGGCATGTGAATTTTTCTCATTTGGCACGTTGCTGATTTTTGAAATTCATCCTTCAGTGATGATGCTTGATGACGAGTCTGATGGGATTTGACCTGTCTCAGGGTTCTTGATCCAGTTAGCATGTTCTGTGCTTCTGAATTTGGAGTCCTGAGTGCTGTCCCTTCTATTGATGACTTTGAGGCATTTGTCTGAGAAGGTTGGTAATTAATTGACACCTATGAATATAATTTGCTAGCTTTGCATCTAATTTGGGTTTTTTTGTCTCCACAGGCATACCAACTTAGAAGAGCAGTACCTAATTTTCTGTATTTGTTCAAATAAAACAAAAGAAAAAAGGTTGCTGTTTCTTTCATTGCAAAGAGTTGTGTTCCCAAACAACCTGCAACTAGTAAAGCTGTGCTTTGTCCCATAAAGTTTAAAATTTTAAATTAAACATTGCATCATGACTACACAACTTGTCCTGGTGGCTCAGTTGATAGGACCCTGTAATTTCAAGGCAAGAATGCGGTGTTAAATGCATTCCATGATTTTTTTCCATTCGGGGAAGTCTCATGGAATGTACATGATTTGGAGTACAGTGGGATGTCTTACTAGCTATTACACTTCATCAAATCTGTAAATTGTGGTATATGGGTATGTGTTGAAAACAACAAGGGAAAGTTGCATTGGTTTCTTGTGATGCACACTGATTACTCTGCCAGGCTTATATTGTCAAGATTTCTGGTGACTTTTTACCTTTTCTGTATTCATTACAGCCTTGATCCAAACACAGACAAAAAAGCTGTCCTTAAGCTAAGAGCAATTGCCCTTGCCACACTGGCAGCTACCACTTTTGTTATGAAGGAATCCTGGCAAAAATACTGCTTACAAACATACTGTTATGGTTGTTCAAAGCTAATCATCTGAATCGTGCATTTGCTTAGGATGGTGTGCTAGTCCTAGTCCTTTTCAGCTGGTTTATCAACTGCCTTTCCTCTATCTCATGGTCAGAAGTGGGGATTTTTGCAGATTACAAACAGCACTGTACATTGCAACTGCTCAGCTTCTGAAGCAGACCACGATAACAGTCAGTGAACAGAGGTTCAAATCCAACCAAAGTAGCTGGTGAAGTTTGAATTTCATAAAATCTGGAATTGAAGGATAGCATCAAAAACAATATGTTCATAGCTACCATTAATGTTTGAAATTTTGTCCTTAATTGGTAGGGTCTGTGTGTGGATCCAGATTGATGATCCTACAGTTAGCTGTAATCGCTGCCTTTGAAATGACTCTACCAAACCATTCAGTTTGAGGATAATTGGGAATGGATGACAGATGGGTAACAAGTAACATTCATAATGTGCCAGGCCATGATTATTTTTGTGAGAATCCAATAAGTCCCTCTTGACATCCAGTGACATTACTATCACTGAATCATGCACCAGCAACAGTTACCTTGGATCAAAAGGTAACCTGTATGAGCCATTGACATTTTGTGACTGCAAGAGCAAATCAGAGGCTAGGAATGCTGAATTCTTGTCAGTGATTATACAGTAGTTACAGAGTACAAGTGAGTAGTATGATGAAATGATCTCTGTTTCCTGGAGCTCTAACACCACTAACGAAGCTTGATTGGATAAAGGGACAGTGAGGCTAGGGAGCCTTCACCTGTGAGCAGAGCTGTGGAAGGTCACAGGTCTCATGGAAAAGCTACAGGCCATCCTTCTTGGCAAAAGGGTATCAGCCAGAAGCTGTGGTACCAGCCCAGTAGCATGAGGGATGAATAGCCTGGAAGGAGATTTAAGGGACTTTGGAAGGAAATTCAAAATGTAGGACCTCAGGATTATTCCCAGTGTCACGTTCTAAGGGGTGTGAGAACATAAGAACTAGGAGCAGGAGTAGGCCATCTGGCCGGTCGAGCCTGCCCTGCCTTTTAAGATCATGGTTGATCTTTTTGAGACTCAGCTCCACTTACCCACCCATTCACCATAACCCTTAATTCCTTTACTGTTCAAAAATTTATCTAGCCTTGCCTTAGAAACATTCAACGAGGTAGCTTCAACCGCTTCGCTGGGCAGGGAATTCCATAGATTCACAACCCTTTGGGTGAAGAAGTTCCTCCTGACCTCAGTCCTACATCTGCTTCCCTTTATTTTGAGGTGATGCCCTCTAGTCATAGTTTCACCTGCTAGTGGAAACAACCTCCCTACCTCCACCTTATCTATTCCCTTCACAATCTTATATGTTTCTATAAGATCTCCCCTCATTCTTCTGAATTCCAATGAGTGTAATTCAAGTCTACTCAGTCTCCTCATAATCTGGAATCAACCGAGTGAATCTCCTCTGCACCCCCTCCAGTGCTAGTATATCTCTTCTCTTGACCAAAACTGCACACAGTACTCCAGGTGTGGCCTCACCAGGACCCTATACAGCTGCAGCATAGCCTCCCTGTTTTTAAACTCCATCCCTCTAGCAATGGCAGACAAAATTCCATTTGCCTTTTTAATTACCTGCTGCCCCTGTAATCCTACTTTTAGCGATTCATGCACAAGGACGCCTAAGTCTCTGTACAGCAGCGTGCTGCAATTTTTTACCATTTAAAACATAGTCCATTTTGCTGTTATTCCTACCAAAATGGATGAACTCACACTTATCAACATTGTACTCCATCTGCCAGACCTTTGCCCACTCACTTAGACTATCTATATCCCTCTACAGACTTTTTAGTGTCTTCTGCGCAGGAGGACTGATCAAGTTAATATATTTGCTAGAGAATAGGAGGGACAGCATCAGAATTCTGAGTCATTGGGACCAGTTCTGGGGCAGGTAGGACCTGTACAAGCTGGATGAGAAAGTCAAAACAGGACTGGGACTGATCCTTTAAGGGAGATTTGATGTTGAAATTGATTTAATTCAGCTTGAACATCAAATGGAAAGAAGTAAAGTGTAAAAGGAAGTAGAAAAGTTGCTAGGGCGAATGGAAGAGAAACAAACTCTAACATTTTGAATGCAACATAATGTCAAAAAAAGTTAATGACGTTTTACCTGAATGCATTCATTAGGATTGATGACACACAGGCGCAAAGCGTATAGTAGTGATTCCAGCCATTCAAGAAACATGGTTATGTGTTGACCAGCACTGGAAACAGAATATTCAAAGATGTTCAATGTTTAGGACAGGCAGAAAAGGGGGTGGAGATGCTCTTGCAATAGGAGACTGGATCAGTATGTTAGTAAGGATCTTTGATCAGCATAGAGTGTAGAATCTTTTTTAGGTGAGTTACTGCCCTTGACATCAATTCTGCATTTAACTTGAGTGGGGCATCAAGGAGCCCTAGTAAAACAAGTCAATAGGAGTTTGGGGGGATTTCTCTGCTGGTAGAAATCAAATCTGCACAAAGGAAGATGGCTATGGTTGTTGGAGGCCAGTCATCTCAGCTCCAGGGTATCTCCTGGAGTTCCTCAGGAAAGTCTCCTAGGTCCAACAATCTTCAGCTGCTTCAATGATTTTCTCTCCATCATAAGATCAGAAGTGGGGATGTTTGCTGATAATTGTACTTATGTTCAGTACTTCTCCCAATTCCTCATATTCTGAAGCAGTCCATGTTCAAATGTAACAATATCCAAGCTTAGACTAAAAAGTATCAGGTAACTTTTGCATGCACAGAAGTGTGGTAGAGGCAGGAATCATTACAATGTTTTAAGTATTTAGATGAACATTTGAAATGCCACAGTATTCAACACTACAGACCAAGTGCTGGAAAGTGGGACTAGAGTCGATAGGTATTGCATGACTAGTGTGGACACAATGGGCTGCAAGGTCATATTTTAAACTAAGACAGATGTCACCACATATATATGCAGGAGTTGAAAATCAACTCTGGTTCAAAACACCATACTCAGAACAGGAGTAGGCCCTTTGTTTCCTCAAGCCTGTTCATCCAGTCAATTAGATAATGACTGATACTTATCTTAATCCATCATTTCCCTTGCCGAAAATATCATTGATCTTGTGTATCAATTTCTATCTGTTCACTGTCCTGTCCTAAAAGTCACACCTGACAAAGGAGCAGTGTGCCAAAAGCTTGTGATTTCAAATAAACCTATTGGACTATAACCTGGTGTCGTGTGACTTCTGACTCAGGGCCAAAAGTCCTAGAATTCTGTACTGTCCTCTATGGAGATGGGAAATCTATTTCCTGGTTTCACTTATGAGTGTCATTAGCTCTGGTTTTAAGTTTGTATTCTTTGTTCTGGATGTGCACCTCAGTGCAATCAGAGTTAAGTTAGACTCAGCTTCTAGACTTGAGGCAATATAAGCTAGATTTTTGAAATGTTATTATCATTTATCCTTTGGTACTCTGATATTCTGATGAATACAACAGTGTCCTAGCGGCTCAATGAAGGACTGCAGATGGGGTCTGATGAAAGGACTACAACTAAAGCATAATTCTAAACCTTGAGGAAAAAGCTAATGTCTCATTATCCTTTTTATAGTTGAGCTTTTGTGTACCTGGATACATAAATGTATTTACAGTCACTTGGTCGTACAGAACTTGAATATAGCAGACATGAGAGACATGCTGCCAAAACCTTTGGTTTTACACTCATCAGAACAAACTCAAGAATGTCAAATTGCAGGTGATCACAATAATTTACACTCAGGAGAAAATGGTGCAGTTTGGTTGACAAGTTGGTTCTGATTAGCTGAGGTATTGCAATGGAGAAATAAACAGGGAGCTATAGGCTCCCTAAACTCTTTGATAATAAACAAAAACCACAAGACTTGAATGTAAATGTTTTTGTTTGTATCTGGACAAGATCGATCCTTGATTTATGTATGGATAGTAATCTGTTTTCTTGTTTGACATTGCAAGCTTGTTTACAAATAGCCTCATGAAGGAAGTCTTGGTCAAACCCAATTTTATACTTGAATAATCTCCAATTATGTGCTATTGAGCTCTTTTCTAATTCCAGTAGACTTCATGTCGTTTGCTGATCTTTAAGATCTCTTAGCTAAGCAGCTGAGGGTTCCTTAAGTGAGAAATCTTTCCTCAGAAGTTACTGGAACTTTTCTTTCTCAAGGCATAGTAAAGGTGGACAGAAGCTATCTGACAGTAACTTACTTTTTTAAATCAACCTGTTGTCATGATATGTTACAACATTTAACTTGATTTCTGGCCCAGATGTGGAGGTATCAGCATTGGACTGGGGTGGA